TCGAGCCATGGTAAGCAGCCAGTTTGACTCCCTCTTCGTTGTGGCAACCGCTGAGATATTGGAAGGCTGCTATCATATCTCCCCTAGTTCTTCTTTTCACTAAACTAGACATACCCAGTTCCTGCAACCGTTCTTCATGGTATGTTTTAGCCTCGAGTCCCCTAATCCTCTTTGTTGCTCTTCTCTGCACTCTTTCTAGAGTCTCCACATCTTTTCTACATCATGGTGACCAAAACTGAATGCAGTATTCCAGGTCTGGCCTTACCAAAGCCTTATAAAGTGGTGTTAACACTTTATTGTTAACTAGCTGATAACCTGGCGTTGCCTGGGTATTGATTTATCCTAATCCATACCTTTGTCCTCAAAAATAATCCCGGACCAAACATAATTTCTAATGTTGGATTTTCCCCCTTACCAGATGGAGCCCCCTTGTGGAGTACCGTGAATCCGTTACCATGGCAACTCCACTGCACTGTACAGTAGAAGCCATTTTACAGGAGTATAGTAGAAGCCATTGTAAGGCACAACAGGCTGCATCTTAACGGAACACACCCCTTGAGGGGTTTTATGGGTGTCTTACCCCCACAGTATTTTGTCTCCAGAGAGGAAGCCATCTGGGTTCCAAGTTTGGGGTTGAGCAAAGTTGCAAAATCGGAATGATGTTTTCCGTACCTGAATTGGGACACTCCTGCAGTGCTTTGGCCATCAAGGTGTTTGCGATGTTCTTCAGCCCAGCTCTGTACTCCAACCGCACCGATTCCAGCCTACAGAAGGACGAAGCACCAGGTTTTAGCTAGCAAAGGTGGAAGAGAGCAAGGCTTTCGGCCAACCTCCATAAGGTTTCCTTGTTTTTTTTTGTTTTTTTTAGCTTTAGCACTTTATTTTACAGGTAGTCCTCGACTTACGGCAGTTCGTTTAGCGACCCTTTGAAGTTATTGCAATTCAAAAAAGTGACTTATGAGCATTTTTCACACTTAACGCCCATGGCAGCATTCCCCGTGGTCACGCGATCAAAATTCAGACGCTTGGCAACCGAGTCAGACTTACGACGGGCCGCACGTGACTTACGATGGGTCACGTGATCCCCTTTTGCGACCTTCCAACGAGCAAAGTCCATGGGGAAACCGGATTCAGTTAACAACCGTGTGACTAACTTAACAACTGCAGTGATCCACTTAACGACTGTGGCAAAAAAAGGTCGTGACATGGGACAAATCTCACTTCACAAATGTCTCAGCAACAGAAATGTTGGGCTCAATTGTAGTTGTAAGTTGAGAGCTACCTAAGCATTTTATCCAGATTTTATACAAATTGGAAAAATGTGTATGTATGTAGACAGATAGATAGATAGATATAGATAGATAGATAAATATAGATAGATAATAGATAGATAGATAGATAGATAGATAGNATGTTTCGCTTCTCATCCAAGAAGCTTCCTCAGTTCTGTTGAGGAAGAAGAAGATGTTTTGCTTCTCTTGAGGAAGAAGATGTTTCTCTTCTCATCCAAGAAGCTTCTTCAGTTCTGTTGAGGAAGAAGAAGATGTTTTGCTTCTCTTGAGGAAGAAGATGTTTCTCTTCTCATCCAAGAAGCTTCTTCAGTTCTGATGAGAAAGATGTTTTGCTTCTCTTGAAGAAGAAGATGTTTCTCTTCTCATCCAAGAAGCTTCTTCAGTTCTGATGAGGAAGAAGAAAATGTTTTGTTTCTCTTGAGGAAGATGTTTCGCTTGTCATCCAAGAAACTTCAAAGTTCTGGCTGGAGGGTGGAGCAGGGAATGGAAGAATTAGTTCTGACATTAGTTTTGCCAGAGACCAATGTCTCTCTGTCACTTAGACCAACCTCTCATGTTGAATGCAGATAATTCCATTCTGATCCAGTCAGAAACACAATGCATATATAACTAACATTTTATATGTAATATAAATGACAAGCGGAGGTGTAAGACACTCTGATTCACAAGCTGAAGAGATGAGATTATCTTTGCAGAAAAATCCAGAGGCAACCCATGTTTTTACATTTGTTCTTACATTTCAGGCATGTTAAATCAGATAGGAAAAATTATTCATTGCATAAGAACAAAAACATGAGATCGGTGTATACATCTAATAAAAAGCACTCATAGAGAAGAGACCACAGGTAGTCCTCGACTTAAGACCACAATTGAGCCCAACATTTATATTGCTAAGTAGATATTTGTTAAGTGAGTTTTGCCCCAATGTACAACCTTTCTTGGCACAGTTGTTAAGTGAATCACTGCAGTTGATAGGTTAATAAAAGGATTAACAAGTGAATTTGGCTTCCCGCAAAAGGTGATCACAAGACCCCGGGACACTGCAACTGTCATAAATATGAGTCATTTGCCAAGCGTCTGAATTTTGATCCCGTGAACATGGGGATGCTGCAATGGTTGTAAATGTGAAAAACGGTTATAGATCACTTTTTCAGTGCTGTTGTAACTTTGAATGGTTACTAAATGAACTGTAGTAAGTCAAGGACTACCTATACAAACTGTAGGATAATCAGCCAAATGTAGGATAATGAACAGTGACTGAATGGTTGTAAGTCAAGGACTACCTGTATATAGCCATTTATCCAAAATGTGTAGGGTCTCCTACTTGAGCAGAGGGTTAATTAGAACAGTGTTTTTCAACCACTGTGCCGCGGCACACTAGTGTGCCGCGGCACANGCTGCACAAACCGTTGATCATCAAAAGATCAAAACATTGACAGACTCCATGAATGGAAGGCTTTAACTTAACTGAAAAGATAGCATGGCTATATTGGTTACTGGGGTTTTTTTTAAGATGTCTGCAATGTTTATTCGTACATTTTGAGTTGCTTGCTTATTATTTTCACTTTTAACAGATGAAAACAAACAAGTGAGATGGGATTTTTTTTGTTTTTCCTATAGTTGCTCAATAGTTCTGCGCACTAATAAGTTGCCCAATAAATTGTACACCCAAAAGCTTTTACTTTCACTTTCTTAAATGTTCAGGGTTTGAGGTTTATTAAAGTTTTGGATTGACCGAGAGCACTGTAGTTGTTCAATAATAAAATCAATCCTCAAAAATACAACTTGACTAATAACTGTGCAGAGTATATTTTTGGCGTATAAGACGCACCTTTTTCCCTCAAAAAAAGAGGCTGAAAATCTAAGTGCGTCTTATACACTGAATACATCATTTTTTGCCCCTTTCACCAAAATGGTCGTGCATAGCCTTTAGGAGGCTTTCCAAGCACTCCTGGGGGCTGGGGAGGGCAGAAATGAGCAAAAAATGGACCTTTTTTTGCTTAATATTGCCCCCCTCCAGCCCCCAGGAGCACTCTATAAGCCTCCTAAAGGCTATGCATGCCCTTTTCCCCCCAAAAAACGAGCCCATTTTTGTGAAAAACGGGTCGTTTTTGGGAGGTATGCAGAGTGCAAAAACATTTTTTTTTAAATTTGCCTCTTCAAAACTTTGGCGTGTCTTATACTCCTGTGCATCTTATACTCTGAAAAATATGGTAATTTGTTTCAATTGCTCCCCTCAGGAGACAGCCATAGGGCATTGAACGCCAAAACAACTAGACTCAAGACAGTATTTTTCCCTCATGCCATCACTCTGCGGAACACGTAATTCCCACAGCACTGTCTTAGGCCTAAAAATTTTACCCATGTAGTAGGCTGTATTGCTACAATCACCTTTCTCATTTCTCATGTACCCTATTATGTTCTCCTATTGGTATCTTATCTTATCCTTTATCGCTTGTTTGTATTTTAGGATTAATGATTGTGACCGCGATTTATGATCTATGACCTATCACTTTGGAGGTCAGGGGTCAGCAACCCTGGGCTTTGGAGCCGCATGTGGCTCTTTCATCCCTCTGCTGTGGCTCCCTGTCGCCAGTCAGCATCACAATTTTGAGAGAACTTCCAATTTGGAGGGGGGGAGCAGGGCACACCAGGGGAGACTATGGCAAGGAGTGGGTGTTCCGGTCAGTTCCATAATTGATAGGGCTTTCGGTTAGGACAGGTAGAGGAAAAAGAAGGCCACACTAGGAGACACTATGGTGGTGGAACTGGACTTCCGGCCAGCTCCAGAATTGAATTGTTGGGGGGGGGGGGCGCTTCCAGTTAGGATCTTTGTGGGTTGTAGACCCCTGTTGTAGGTAGATACACTGGGATGAACTGGAGACAAATTCCTTGTAGGTTCAATCAAACTAGGTCAATAAAGAATTCAATTCAATACGTGCCAGAAACTTTGGGAGGGGAGAGGTTGCTAGTGAATCCAGAGTAGGGTTCTCCAACATTGGCAACTTTAAGACATATGGATGTCAACTCCCAGAATTCCTCAGTCAGCTTT